TTGCCACCGGTTCCTGAACTGCAGGAATGAATGCACTCATTGCTTGCCTCTACATTGCCAATATACATCCCCAAGGAGTCTCTGTAACAAGCATTTAGCAGAGGGTCCCATCCCTGTTTGCTGGGTGATACAGCTCAGCAGGCCATACCTTTGATGCTGCTAACGTGGAGCATGAAGACATTGTGACGTCCTAAATGGGGATTAAGTTAGACAAGCTTTCACATGCAAAGCATTCTAATAAGCAATCAGGACTCATAATAGACACTATATCTTTTATTGAACCAACTAGAGTTTTGCAAAACAAAAATTCTTTTAATTGCAAGTTTTCGGGCACAAACACCCTCTATCAGGCATTGGAGGAAAGCTTTAAAAGTTCTCCTGGGTAACAAATGAAAGTTCATGTTTCATAGGATTTCACAGATATCACCTCTACTACGAGTCCTGATTGCTTTTTCCTCTAGGCCAGTACAGCTGCAACCTGGATACCTGAAGCATTCTAATAAGCACTGGCAGGATCAGGGAGCATGCACAGGTACCACTGACCTCTGCTACATGGAGCACCATGCCCATGAACCTATACAGAATGAACCTGAAGATCACCCTGGCTTATTGCATCTCTAGGGCAGGGGCCTGGATGTTTAGAAGCAAGAATCATCAGGCATGGCAGAAGTCAGGGTAGATCCACCCCTTTCTCCTCTGCACCCCCAGGTACCCATTAAGTCCCAGGTGTCCACAAACTTTAACAGTAAATCTTTTAGTTTCAGATTCAGTCTTATGAAGGCAGTTTAAAGCAAACCCGGGAAGAATGGCTTGCTAAAATCGGCGTGTCTATCCTGACCACACTCAAGCATTTTCCCATTGGAAACCAGAGGATGGAGCTGGGCTTTTCTCTGTGGCTAGAAGGACATGTCTAGGAGCTCAAGCTGCAGAGGGGGGGAATTTCATATGGAGATAAGGAGGAACTTTCTAACTACAAGGGTGGCCAAGCATTGGACCAGGTGCCTAGAGAAGCTGTGGCCTCTCCATCCTTGGACATTTCCGAGAGCAGCTTGGACAGACGCGTGACTGGGATGGTTTCGGCAAGGCCCCGCCTCGAGCAGGAGGCCGGATGCGATGCAAAGTCGCTTCCAGCCTGACTGTCCCCAGAGATCCCAAAAGGGAATATTATATTGCTTTGGACAGGGCGGGTGCAGGAAAGCAGGTCTGAGCACCCAGTGGGACCCGCAGCCACTGCCAAGAGGGCTGCTGGCCTGACCTGCCACGCAGCAGGCTGTTAGGTATCCAGGTTCTAGCAGTATTGGTCTAGAGGAAAAAGCAAATCAGGACTCGTAGTAGAGATGATCTCTTTTTATTACACCAATAAGATTTTTGCAAAAATTAAAAATTAAAAAAAAAATTTAAAAAAAAAATGCCTTTCATTGCAGGTGTTTGGGCAGTTCTCCTGGGTAGAAATTTTCTCCTGGGCCAATAGAAATCTTTTCTCCGATGCCTAGCGAAGGGTGGTTCTGCCTGAAAGCTTGCAATTAAAAACTTTTATTTTTTTGCAAAAATCTTGTTGATTTAATAAAAAAGGATATTCTCTACCACCAGCCCTGAATGCACCAGGCTGGGCATTTTTTTTTAATGTTTAGGCCTAGTGCAAATCCACCAGCTCATCGCATCCCTCGCCCAAAATACCCAGTAGCCAATTAAATGCCACGTCCAAAAAACTGCAGCTCAGCATCTCTACTCATAGCCTCCACGTGTACTGAGCAGGAACCCCCCCCCCCTGCTCCCCGCCAATGGTATCTCCCCGCCAGGTAACAACCCCCCAATGGTATCTCCCCGCCAGGTAAGAACCCCCCAATGGTATCTCCCCGCCAGGTAAGAACCCCCCAATGGTATCTCCCCGCCAGGTAAGAACCCCCCAATGGTATCTCCCCGCCAGGTAAGAACCCCCCAATGGTATCTCCCCGCCAGGTAACAACCCCCCAATGGTATCTCCCCCATACCTAGTGCCAGAGCGCATGCGCCACGCTCTTTCCCACCATTGGCTATCTGCCCCGTGACACCACCAATCAAGGCCCAACTCCTGCTATGTAGCCTCACCGAAAGGACCCTTAGGTGCCCTCAGTGGTGCCTGCAGTTGTTGCCGCGAAGGCACCCCGGGGCTGCTGGACAGGTAGAGTCTCCCCCGCTAGCTTGTCGGCGTCTCTCCCGGGGCACAGGCAGCACAGCGGCCACCCCTGAGCTGGGGCTTCCCGCGGCGGGGGCGGGGCTCCGG